CCCCAAAACCCCAAAACCCCAAAACCCCAAAACCCCAGCTCACGAGCTTTTGATTGAAAATGATAAGCAATTCATCTAACGAGTCTTTCTAGAAAGTACTCCGCTCATTTTCTTTTTAGTGTTGGTTTCCATTTGTCTTGGGACTTGGTAGATCTATAGATGTGAGAGAAGTATTCTTACTCCAAACTCTTTTGGTCTAGAGTTCTTTCTTGAAGACAAATAAGGGGTGTACTCGCTTGGTACGTAGGAGTCGTCACTAACGTAGCCATTTTCTTCCTTTTCCAATTCCTTCTCGATTTCTTTTTCCTCTTGCAAGTTGATCTCTATTGCCTTGACATCTTCTTCATTTTGGGGTGCTTCTACTGCTTGAGCTTCTTCTTTAACAACTTCATGCTCACTTTCAACTTCTTCAATCATATCAATTTCTTCTTTAACTGGTGTTCTTGACTTTCTGGAATCTCCTTCGGTTTGCTTTCTAGTCTCTTTATGGGCATGTACTCCAATTGCATATTGAGGAATCTTCTTTTTCCATTTCTCAAGATTGTCATCTAGGTTCCTCAAATTTTGGGATAGATTAGGTATAAATTGCTCGAGAATTACAAAGGCTGGTTTAATCATGTTATTAATGAACATATCTTGAGATTCAGCAACGTTAATAGTTTCTCTATCCATTAAGTAAGATACCTCTAGACCGATCTCCTTTTCTCTATCACCTTGATTGAAAAATTCTATGAAGAGCATATCTACCCACTTTTTACAAACAGGCCAAGGCTTAGAGGTATTAATATCAGCAACGTGGAATATAAATTCAGTTGTAATCTCTTTATCAATACCTGCCGGATCAAAATCATCTTCAGAACTTCTTTGCTCAAGAGCAAACATCTTGCTAAAGTGGTTGGCCATGTCTGTAGCAAGAATAAAATTAACAATTAGTTTTCTGATTTCTCTGTTCTGCTTCATTGAGACTTTGTCAAAGATATCGCACTGTTCGCACCCTTTCATGATCTTGAAAGCCATTGCGATATGATAATTTTCCAGAACTGATTTATCGTTATATCTTAAAGAAAGTGGATCATTAGTATTGATAAGGAATGAATTGGTATATCCAGGATGGTCAACATCTTGCATAAAACCAGCTAAAAGCATAGACATCTGCTCTGTCCTAGAGAGTTTGCAAATATCTATAACGTCACAACTCTTCATGAAATAATAAACAGTTTGAGACACATCAGTAGCATGAGTCTTATTGTGGTAAGCAACTGGATTATAACTCTCTTGGATAGCATATAAGAAATTTTGGAGCTTCATCTTATCAATTCTGTACTCTTCTAAGTATGCTTCTTTGGTCATAATGTGCATACCAAAAACGTACATTTCATTTCCATTTGTCTGATTCTTGAGATCAAACACGTCAAATTCAAGATCCTCAGAAGAGTCTAGTAGCATCTTCAAGTCATATTGATCCTCCATTGTCAAAAAATTGAAGTCATCGTTGAAAAATTCCTCTTGATGATCATCGATAGAGTCAATAATTCTGTTAATATCTTTGAGCTTGACTTCATTAATCCTCGTTGGGTCGACCTCAGTATCATCTCTCATGAAACTAGCCTTCAAGAGCCCGTGTCTGACCTTTTTCTTTCTTCTATTGTCATTGTGGACCTCGATTCCCTTCTGAATTGCTGCTTTAAGTACCTCATCTGTGTTTTCGCATTTATCATCTAACTTCTTTAGGATAGCATTCAGATCTGTTTCCTTTTTAATTTGACTGATTTCATTTTGAAGTGCTTGTCTTTTCTCCTTAACCTTATCAGATTCAAAATTGGCCACAAGGAAATAGTATAGTCCTACTCGTGAGACCCTTGCAATAAGAATCAGGATGTTGACCCCTCCAAACATATTTTGGAAGATTCCACATATATCAAACATCATTGTAATTAAGAGGATTCCTAACATCATCTGGACAGATGAATCACCAAAAATTTTATGCAAATCGTTGGATTTCCACTTAGGATACATTACCATGAACAAGAGAGTAATCTCAACACCAATTGAAAGTATAAGCACTTTTGGAAGTTGATTTTCTTTTTGCCAAATATGTCGGTATAAGAAATAAAAGATCACGCTCACTATGGCCATTATTCTCCATGTAGTTCTCTGTGGATCAAAAATATCCTCTTCTTCAGTTTGATGAGTATTTCCAGTCTCTTTAGTCTCTTCTCTATCACCTTTTGCTCCATTTCTTGCACTAACCCCATTCTCCTTTGCTGTTTTCCCATCTGAGGGTGGTTCATTTACTACTATTTTCATCTTAAAAATTGCAAGATTTAATTTTATTTCCAATATATGGGGTGTCAGGTGGGGTTTTGGGGTTTTGGGGTTTTGGGGTTTTGGGGTTTTGGGG